CGTGGCGGGTAGTTGCACCACAACGGAATGTTGCGATGCCGACTGGCTCTGCTGCTGCTGCTGCTGCTGGACGAGCGGTGAAACAGAATGCTTGTGGACATAATCACCAATAACGTTACTGATCGGAGGTAGCCGATTTGACTGCGTTGAGACATCGGAAACTGGAGAAGGCACGGAGACGAAATCCGATGCAGCATCTGTCACCAGTGTACTGCCAGCGCACGGATACAGGATCGAGTCTTCGTATGGTCTCAGTCGCTCCAGAAGTTGCGGTTTTGCTCCAGAAACTGGCAACTGGCGTTTTTTGCATTCATTTTTGAGATCCTGAACTCGGTAGTCCGAAAGCCGGCTTTTCGACTTCTCATTCTCATTTGCTGAGCTACTGCTTCCTGATGACAGTGCTGGATCGTTCAAACTGCAACTCGAACACTGGCAACATTGCAAAGACTCCTGTGATTGCTCCTGAACCAACAGCTGAGTCCCATTTCCTAAGCATTCCGTTCCAACCAGAGAACTGTGCGTGGAGGCAGTCATGCAGGGCGATGTTGCAACTGATGTCGTACACTCATCAGTACACTGCTGCCGCTCTTCCTGGAAAGCAGTCACATTTAATCATGTTAGACTTTATGAAGATGGATTTCGCCTCAAGCATGACATTTTTCCACTAAATTTATTGATAAATCCGTAAATTTATTGATGAACTTGAAACTAGCCTATCCGAAAAGTGATGAAAAAACGGCTGTGTGTTGCTCTATGATTGTGTAGCATACGTACTTCACAAAGTGAGTGTGTGAAATGCGCGTGAACAAGCATTATGCAATTTTTAAAAGCGGTATTACGAATGGGTTAGAGTCAAAAATTATTTACATTTTCAAAATGGTTTAGGTTTAAATTGGTAGAAATGCACTGAAGATTTGTCAGTGTGAAGACGAAGCCTGACAAACAACTGGAATTCTTCGTGAAAAACACGAGCACTAAATCCATTGCATGAAAAGTGATGCTTACCATGTTTTGAAATTCCTAAAGATTAACAACGGGACGTTGTCCAGAAAAAAAGCCTAGCATCAAAAGAGCACGCTACAAATGCTGACAAAATAAACTGAAAATCCATGGCCTACAATCGAAATATGTGCTAGTCCGTGCACCTGCATATAAAATTCTGTACAAGTGAAACTTTGACAAATTGAATTCTATGATTTTACCGCATCCAGCAAATAGTCTCTGGACTGCTTAAATGAGCCCCGTGAAGCTGCTAATTTGCTGCGAATGAAGAGGTACACAAAGCGATACATAAATGATTGCGCGATCAGTAGGTAATAAGCAAGGGTATAAGCAGGCTCACGGATAGCTAAAAAAGCGCATCAAAAAACACGAAAAATCATCAGAAAGCTTTGGGATGAGGTAGTGATGCTCAACAAACACTGTTGAATCTCCAAGAGGCTAAAGCCTTGTCAAAGTGCTTCTGTCAGGAGAGCCACTAAGCCATAATCTCATTCGGAAACGAAAGAAACAACGGGATCGCCAAGCAGCTGGTCACCAGGAGATGCAGAAATGGTCAAAACAAGCAAGAAGTGAAAAAAAGAAATGGAATGATTTTCAATTACATTCGAAACCAATGGTGAATCAGTGAGCAATCCAAGTACTGAGCATCAAGTGAGGGCATCTGGCTGGAGAATGCATGTCAAAGGACCTACTTCCAGCAGACCGTACTTCACTTGAGTGATCTGTAAGACAAGTAACGAGGGAAAGCAAGGAGCGAGCACTGCTTGATTTCTAAACGATACATCATATGATATTACCTAAGATACTGACCGGTGCCGGCTAATCAGACTGCGTACTGTCCCTCAAAAAACAACCGACTGGCGTAATGTATGATTAACTGATCTGGCAACTACACGTCATTTTTCATTTAAAAGAAAAACAAAATCACTGAACATTTTGCAAAGAAGTTATAAAGTGTGAAATGAGAAAAAGCTGGTTTACCTGAAATGTGCCATGTGCTCGAGACTCCTCTACCTCGCGTTGCCATTGCAAAAACAACTGTTGTTGTTGAAGTAACAGATCGTAGCTGCTTTGCACTTCACGGGCATTTTCATTCTTCAACGAG